ACGTCTAATAACACTTAAAACATATACTTACGCTTATACTATTAACTCACAAGACGGTATACATAAATGATGGTAAGTGGTGATCGATTTCGATTGGACATTCCAATCATCATCAGACCCAATAACCGAATAAATTCGTTGTTAGTAGTTTTATTTGTAGTTTAAGTTATGTTGTTCGCCTGGAAATCAAAATTTTAGTGGTTTGATTCAAGGCAAAAAAAAAAATAGTTTTAGCGAATTTCCCATATAGGGAATAAGCTATTACCGTAGTACTCATGGTAAGACCTGGACGCGGGACCGATTTTTTTTCATTTTGAGGTCCCTAGAGGCCAAAAACACCATCCGTTCAAATTCATATATATATATATGTGTCCGTTAGCGCGATAACTCGAGCAAAAATGATCCGATTTTGATGAAATTTGGTACAAACGTGTAAACCTACGTTTATTCGAACGAGTTCGTGATCCAGCATAATCGGACCATGGGAACAGGGGTTTATGGGGGGTTTTATGGGGTAAAAATGTGTTTTTCCCATTTTTTACCCTAAAAACAAAAAAAATTTGCAATTTATTTCTAAACCGTTTTGTAGAGCTTAAAAAAAGAAATAATTTAGTATATTGAAGCGCTGTTGTATGCCTAACGGTCACGGAGAAAATTAAAAAATAGTTTAATTTAAAATTCCCATGTTATTCTTATGGAGAAAATAAAAATTGTTGTAGTTTACTTGTTTATGGATATATATTGATAAAATTTGGCAAATTTATTTATTTCATCCCATACTATTCACGTATGGTCAAAAAACACTTTTTACCTTCCCCGTAGCAGCAAACCTAAGCACTTGTTAAATTTAATGCTATTTAAATAGGGAATAAATATGTCTTATTTATGGAAATATTTGAGTAAAAATGTAATCAGACAAGTTGAAATTCGCTTAGTCTGCAGGTTTGCTGCGGCGGGGGTATTTTTAGTGTGGTCTTGGTTGATCATGAAAAGTCAGCAGTTGAAACTGGAACAGCTGTCCTTAATCATTGAACTAAAGCCCTAAATGGTGTTTTGCTAAGAAACAGCTGATCTTAGTCAGTAAGAAAGCTACTTATATCAGCTCATTCCATTCCACCCTTATCGCCACACCATATGTTTCTTGGAGATTGAATTAAAAACCTAATGATCCTCCTCAATGTTGACCGCAATTCGACGGATAATAGTTAAATGGAATGCCTAGCCCTCTCTATGACCCGTCTAGACCGCAAGTTCAATCATCAGAAAGAGGCAGAGTTAAGCAATTTAAATTAAGCTTAAAAGACGAACCAAAGACGTGTGAATCTAAAAACCTTTGAATTTTGAACATTTTAGTGCTTGCGACATTCAGAAAGTCTCCAGTTCGAGAAGATGAAGTCAGAAATTTTCAATGGTTGAATACTGGGATCAGCTGTTCTTATGACATTGAGCTACAGTATGTATATTGGTCCTGTCTAAAGAGACAGCTGGACTTTCCACGTGGTCAAACCAGCCAGCACTAAATTAATTTTATGTCGTTGAGATAGCTAGGCGAAGATGAGTGATAGATCGCTATGGTGATAACCATAACACTTCAGCTACCTTGTCACAACCAAAAAAACAATTAAATTAAACTAGAAAATTCTAACCGAATACATCTGTTCAATCTTGCTACAATTGCAGATCGAATTAACAGTTTCAAACAAGGTGTGTGTTATTGATTGCTACCTATCTTATCACTGGTCGATAACAGGCGAGGCACAAAACTACTATTTGGACTTTCCTCACAATGACGGTTAAAACAAATTTGCTTGCAAAAAGTTTTTGTAGACCTTAATGCCCAGTCATATTGTTCCTATTTTAGTAACACTTGCGTAAACTAGAATGGTGTCTGTTTAACATCATTTTAAGTCTAGAAGTTTGTTTGTTTGTTTTTTTTTTTTTTTGTTGCCCGATGTTATCGGAGTAAAAACGTACACTAAGAGCTAAAAGAAAAGGAGAGAAACACACGGATTGTTGGGTTTTGCCATAGTATTACGTAGGTATCATGCATGATATTTTCTAAATAGAATACCAATTGAAGGGTTGAGTGGATGAAGGGGGCAAGTAACAATTTTGTAAAAATTGAGTTAGTTAAAGGGTGTAAGTGATGCTCTATTTAGTACACTGACTCCCATAGTCCTAAGTATAATAATAGCTGAGGTATTTTTTTTTAGCTTAGGGGTTAAGTACAGGGAATGCACCCAAATGGAGTGTATAAAGGTGGTAAGTGCTTCACTTGCCCCCTTCATCCACGTTAAGTTTCACTTACACCCTTCATCCATAACTCTTTGTGCTTCACTTGCCCCCTTCATCCATGTAAAGTTTCACTTACCCCCTTCATCCATAACTCTGCGCACTTGTCCCCTGCACTTACTCCCTTATTGTTAGGTAATAGTAGTAGCGTACGTACTGCAGCTAACATAATTTCCAAATCAGCTGACAATGAACATTACCTTGAACATTTCCTATTTGCATTTTAGTGCGTTTTAAAAATGTATCGGACCGTATTGGACCCACTTAGTACAACGAGTTTTTAGCTATTCTTTATAGGTAACTGCTTCGAAGAAGTAAAAGATTGTACATGAAAAATAAATATTTCTTAGAAAGATTGCAGAGATAAGACTGATAAGCATTTAATAAAAGACAGTTATTACTTGCACATTTAAAAAATATTTAGTATTTTTTATATTGTGGCATTTCTTTTGCATAGCTGGCTTTTAGTTACTATTTTTTGGACAAAGTTACAAGTCAGCACATAAAGTCTATGATAAAGACTTTAAGTAAGTTGACTTGTTACATTTAAGTTTATTTTGGTGCAACAACCTTATATAAATGTACTTTTTACGGTAACATGTTGAAATAAAGTATTTTTTTTACCAAAAATAATTTATTATAATCGTTTACATCACTTAACCCCTTCTTCCACTACGAAACAATTTTTTTTAAGTGGATAAAGGAGGTAAGTAATAGAAAAGTTAAAATTTTAATAGTAAGGAACATTTCAATTTTCATTAAGTATTGCACACAAAAATTTACTTCTCTGCCCTTCCTAACGGGTCGCCGGAAGACTGCCCCTCGGAAAACTACCCCCCCCCCCCAAACAGATTCCTACGTCATATTGACGTCAGAGACCGGGGGGGCAGTTTTCCAGTCACGGACACTCAAATTTAGTTGTCAAACAGTTCTAATCTAACCTAACCTAACCAACCAAACTTGCTGTAACATTTCGAAAATCGAAAATGTTTTATATTCACCACATGCATTTTCTATTATACAAGAGAATTAGTTGAATTAAAATTAAATAGCATGGTTTTTCTAGGGGGGGGGGGTAGTATTCCAGTCGCGGACACGGCTCCCATATTGGTTAGTTAGCAGATTTTGTGACGTCACGTTTCACCTGGGGGGGGGTAGTTTTCCGGGGGATAGTATTCCGCATCCCCTTCCTAACAGCGTTTAAAGAATGAAAAAATTTAAAAGTTATAACCTGCAAACTTTAAGTCCATTTATCTCAAAAGTAACAAAATGTTACTTACCCCCTTCATCCACTCACCCCTTCAATTATAATAATTATTTATAACATTTCCTGAATTGTATATAAAATAAGAGATTAACAATTGGACGATGTGAGCACACTCTGCCCTAAAAAAAACCAGACGCGCAGAAGACTTCAACGAGTTTTAAACGTTTTAAATTGAAGTATTTTTGTGTGTGGTATTTGAATTAACATCTAGATAAAGTAAGGGACTGCTCATATATAGTAAATTAGCGCGCTTTTCCTCCCTTACCTGAATCAACGCAATACATTACTTTCAATTTCTATCAAATTGCATTTTATTGTTTAAAAAAATTTAAATTTAAACTTGACAAATTTTAACCAACATAAAATATGTTTTAAAAGGCTTCATATTTTACGGGCCGCCGTCAAGGTGCCACCCTGACATTTTGGTGTTTTGGTTAGGGGCAAAAACGGCAAAAAAACACATCACCTTGCACTATGGTGACAATGGATGTAATGGGATTATTTTAATGGATTGTAATGGATGTTTGGAATTGTAATGGGATTGGGATGTAATGGGACGTGTACCTACCCTTAAATAGCAAATATTAAAACCTTCACATGTAACTATTTATTTTGGGCCACAATATATTTATTTTTGTGTACCAGGGTTGTTAATCAAGTGTCAGTCTTCTTATAATGTTTATTATCACTTTAAAAATAACACCATTAGCATAAATTAAGAATAACATAGTTAGCATTCCAAGATACCAGCTTGAAACTCGCTACCACTTTATTCAGAAGATGGCGGGTTAATGTGTGCGCTTCATGGGGCCGTAAACCCGCCACCTTGCACTATGTATTAGGTGCCACCTCGACAACACTAAAGTAAAGAGATGGCGAGTTGATGTTGGGACCATCTAGGGACCATCTTGACAACGTACCACCACCACCACACATTTACCCGAGATGGCTGGTTGTCGTGCACGCTCGCGTCCGGATGCCACACCGACAAGGAGCCACCACGTCAACCACCGCCTCAATTTCTTCTTCTTTTTGGTGGCAGGTTGTCGTGGTAGTGCCTTGACGTGCTGCTAATTTTTATAATAGGATTAAAAGTCTACTTGCAGTTTGCAAGTACTCAAAAGTCATTGCCACATAATTTATTGTTGATTCTGGTTGAAATCACTTTTATATGATCACATAAGAAGCAATATCAGATTTGTAACATACTTTTAATTAGTATCCTAGTGTTTATATTCAATGCTAATGCGTGTGATGAGTGTATCAAAATTACTCTGTAGCTAAATGAGCTGATTCTTCAGCCTTCTGCTGTGATGGATGGAAAAAGGGTTATCAGCTGATCTGTCATGTAGATGGTATCATAGACAAAAAGAATGAAATATGGTATTTAGGTTATGTTTTTGTAAACAATTCCCATATTTCTTAATTTGAAATTATTGATTCTCTGGTTTGCAGTCTTGTGTAGACCTAGATCTATATCATCTGTGGTCAAGGACGCGTTTTCTTGATTTAAACTAACTTATTAGCTTTTAGGCGCGAATACAAAGAATTAGTTTATCAAACTAGTAGTTAAAATACTCTTCCAAGTTTTCCGCTATAATCTATGGTAAGGTGGTTGTCAAAAGTAATGAATTGAACCTCCGTTGAGGAGTTTATCCAATATTCATTCTTCCTTTATCTCAAATACTCGATTTTCGAAATCTGAATAATGAAGACGAATCACTCGGTTTTTCTAGAGTATGACAGCTTATCTATAACGCCAAATTACATCATGTCTAAAGAGGTAAATATACTAAGTGAGTTTGGTGTTATAGACCATAGTCCTACGTTTTTTTTTTTACCTAGCTAGGGGTGCTTTACAGAATTTATTTCAATGTAAACAGTCAAATCCTGTCAAAAGCTGTCAGGTGGCTTCAAGACGATGACTTTTCATTGTGTGATGAGCCCACTTGGGCTGTTCTGATACTTTCTCCTCTACAGCTAAGAAGAAAGGAGCTATGAAACTTTACTATGCTCATTCGTAAATGCAAACTAGATTTTCCTCCGTCATCGTCAAGCGTCAAATTATAAAGTAGAACTGACTCTTACTTGTTAAACGAACTTTACTCAGGAGATACCTGCATGCCGAATATCCGCTTCATATTCTTTTTTCATATTCTTTCATATTTTTTTAGATGTGCAATAAATTGAATTAGGCCCTCCTCAGTCATCCCTCACTTATTGGAACCATCATCCTAACTGCTACAATGATTGTGGCACAACCTGGGACAAAATCATGAATAAAAAAGTCACCTAGTGTTTATATTCAATGCTAATGCGTGTGATAAGTGTATCAAAATCAAGCTTGTCAAGTGTTAAGTTAAAAGTTTCGCAAATGCGAATCTAAAATCTGTTTCAATCTGACTCATAGTTGTCAATTAGCCTATTTAATAACATAACAAATATAGGCTAATCGCAAGATATTAAACTGTCATCACTCAATCCTTTGCTGGAGATGAAGATGAGATTAAACTGTGGAAACGAAATGTTGGCTAATATGCTCAAGAAGTTTTGAAGTTGTATTGTTCTTCCCATTAGGTCTATAGGTACGAGTTTTTCCTAATGTGGCGAGTGTTATTATTTCTTAGGAAACCCTACCAGAGCTTGGGAAGTATGGGATCCTTGTTGAAGTCAAAGCTTGTGGCTTATCAGTGCCTTTGGGTGATGGAGCTAGTTTGACGTCTCTGATCCGTAAAATGGGATGCAACCGATTACCAGCAGGCCAAGATATTGCTGGAATCGTTAGAGCTGTTGGAAGTGATGTAACTTCTCTTCATGTTGGGGACCAAGTTACAGGTAGGCCTAACAGATAGATTTGTGAATCGCAGATGTGCTACCATTTGATATTACTATTAGTAATTAGGCCTAGTTAATATAAATATTTAAAGATTGTCTAGAAATTGTCCTAAATTTACCATGAAACAAACACTTACTTAGGCTACTCAACTTTAAATTTAGTCTATTTTGGGTCTGTAATGAAAATCATAATCACTTTGAAAGTCGCCTCATTTGATACCTACCGTTCCTAAAAGCATGGTTAACTCATCTACTTTTCAGATGGTAGATTGGATTTAAAGGCGATAACTATAACGTCTTGGCTATCTGACCAATTCAATAGGTACACTCATAGAATGGCTGTTAGCCTACTGTACATAAAATAAAAATTTGTTTCTATGCTATGCCATCTCAATCATACAAGTGTAGATGAATTATTTATGTTGTACATGGTTAACACCATGATAACTTACATAATTTTGTGTTTGTTGAAGGTGTTATTCCACTTGATAGTCAACAATCAGGCTGTGCTGACAAAGTTGTCCTTCAGGAGTTCGATGTTGGTAAGTTGGAGGAGTAAAAGCTTCTGCATTTTGTATTTTATTTTGACACAGACATTGTCTTTTGAGTTATTGTAGAACGTACAAATTGGTGTAACAAGAACAATTATACCGTGGTTGATTGAAATGAAGAGTTAACTTAAGAGTCGGCAGGAGTCGATTATAATTTTGCATTGTTGTTGACCGTCAGATGCCAGGTTAAACAGTGGTTGTCCCAGCGCCGATCAGCAAAAACATGCGTTGACAATGCGTTTGTATTGATTGAAATTAATTAAGACTAATGACTTGGAATATCTTTTAATCAATTTTTTAAACATGTTGATGAACTCCAACAGTAAAAGTGACGCAGATCTGTTTTTTTCCAGTGATAAAGCCGAACTCTGTGAGTTTTGTGGACGCTGCAGGGTGTGTGGGGGAATGTGTCCGATCTTACCTCGCTCTGTACTACTTGGGGCGACTGGTTAGTGGAGATACAGGTTTGTATCTTGCCAAATTATACATTAGCCTACAATTATTTCATTAAATGAAAAATCTCCGTAGAACAACAATGCAAACAATACATTCTGGATTTTGAAAAAACGACGATGCAAATGACATTCTCTACCGTGTAGGATGTATAGGTTGGCAGGACTTACAAGCTATTTAATGCGTGGGAAACTGGCTGTGTTGGGAAAGGGCTGGCCAGAAAGTTTGAGTGTTTTCTGGAAATAACGGTATTCATTGTTGTTACAGTAGTCGCAGCTAGTCTGGGCGCGCGGCAGCGCTGTGGCGGGGGGTGTAGAGGGGAGTGTTTATTGCTCATTACCAAAAACATCTGGCCCACACGGCTCTCTGAGGTTGTTCAGCGCCTCAGCGCTGTCTTCATGGCTTTGGCGTGGGGGACGGTTAGTACACAAGGGTCCGCGCGCCCAGACTAGCTGCGACTACTGTACTTGAAGGGTTGTTTGGGGGAGCTATTAAAATACTGAAATTATAGCGCTGTAAAAAGTTATTACAAGGGTACTTTTTAAATTTTAAAGTGATTTTAAATATCCACTGCTCAATAGATATTTATTTTATTTTATTTATTTCATGCAACAAAAACATAATAAACAAAATACATTTTATACAAAGCTACAAAAGCCTCAGTAGGCTTGTCCACAGCTATAGATAAAGTCCAGTTCAAAAGTCCATTCACAAAAATCAAGCTATTCTCCCAATCCGTTGTATTAAATAGATAAGTTTTCACATTTCATTACCATTTCTTTCATTGTTTTAACAATAATAGGAAAAACTAATATAACAAAAAAATTAATACAAGTAAATAATTTGAAAAAAAACAACAAATTACTACAGGTAGCCTAATTAACAATCCCATGTTTTACTTAAACTATTTAAACAATATTTAACAATAACAACGCATAGAATTATAACTATTAACAAAGATAAATTCTGAAATCTTTAAAAATTAATTAAAAATCTTTTTAATTCAGCTTTCAAGGAAGAGTATGACTTAAAATTACTCAAACTCAATGGTAACTCATTAAACAAATATGGCACTAAATAATGTTTAGTTCTCTTGGTATATTTATTGTTCACGCTAGGCATAACATATAAGGTTCTCCTAGAATTGTACTTATGAGAGTTTTTTTTCTTTAAATCTATTAGAGAAATAATATTCTATAATTAACAAGAACTTGAACTAGTTCAGTTACTAGTTAGATTTTGATTCTAGCTTCACCAAAGCAATAAACTGAATAGGCTATCCGATTCAACACTTTTCTACTGAGAAGGTGGAAATTAGACCACAAGTGCATTACAGACTCTAGAAATTGTTTTAACCTCAATTTAATTTAAGATAATAACTCAAACATTCCCGCTCAGTTACCTTCTTAGATTTCCCTAAAAGTGTTGGTGTAAATACATACAGAATACTTCTCTTTTCTTGTGTTGAAGTTGAACATAGTATCAGTTTCTAGTCCTTTTTTGTGGCCACTGTTGGTAACTCTGAAGACACCCGTTTCTAACAATTCTCTTCAATCTCCCCTAATGAAGTGCTAATGTATAGGGACGAAATATCAATGTTATACTTTGTGTGTGACTTCTTATTATCTATTAAGCCGGGTTTACACGATGCCAGTTGGCGAGACAATTGTCTTTGCCAATTGGCATCACGTGGTTTTGGAATTGTCGTAGGCCAGGCAAGTTGAACGAGAACCTGTTCACACGTGGCCAACACTTGCCCAGACATACAGTGAACCAGGGTACTACTGCCAAAAGACAAGACAGTGCTATTGGCCTCTACACCGTTTACACGGCGCCAATTGTCACAACAACTGGGTTTTCGAGGGGTGGGGGCCTCACTGGGCCCAGCTCATTGTCCTCAGTCTACTCCCGGAGACAACTGAATTTCGGGACAGTTGGCGGGCCAATTGGCTTGCCAATTGGCCTGAAGTGTTTACACGAAGCCAGTAATTCCAAGCCAGTCAGTTGTCTCCTGACAATTGTCTCGCCAACTGGCATCGTGTAAACCCGGCTTTAGCTCCTGGACTCTAGCTAAGCTAGCTCAGCTCTTCCCTTTTTGAAAAATCCAAACTGCTTAGTGCGTAATCAAGATAGATCAAGGCATCTGTTTGTACTTACTACGTTGTGTAGTATTGGTGCTGAATGGAGCTACAGCCCTTGGTAGTGCCTTGATACAGCTGGCTCATCATTGGGGTGCCAGGGTCATCGCTACCTGTTCTTCCTCTGATGAGAAATTATACCTGCAGACATTGTCTGACAAACTTGGTAAGTGTAACACACTTATATAATGATAAAATAAGTGTTTTATTGAGATAGGTGAGCTATGTTTTGACATCAGAAAGTTCGTTTTCATTTTAACTAGTGATGTCTCGGTTGCAATTTTTATCAATTCCATTTTTGTTTTATAGGTTGTCAGTTTTAGGTACCTAGTATGTCACATTAGTTATAATTTTCTTTGTCGAACATTTTTATTGGAAATGGTAAGTTATGTTTGTATTGGTTATTAACCATTTCAGGTATCGTAGCATAAAACTTAAATTTCACAACAAAACTGGTAGGAAATGTAGGCAATAAGTTTTTTCCTGTAAACAAAATACTGTAAAAATATTATTAATTCCTACACTCATTAATATTTACTGTATAACTCCAAATATCCAATCAAATACGACCGTTTCACATTTGGTTAATCAACTATTAGGATAATTGGGTTTTTGCCAAAATTTAGGGTATTTTATAGACAATACTTCATAGAGAACATGAAGTACACAGTAAAGATTTTTGAGCTGAGTCAGACCTAGCCTAAACGTTAGAGTGAGTTGACCTAGTAAAAATTTGAGCTAATAAGCCGAGATTTTAGTAGGCCTATCTTGATAATATTGCGATCGCATAATGAGACTGTAAAGATTTCACGATCAAGGTATTCAATTCACGCTTTTGCCACGATCGTAGAAGACGATCATGTTTTTGTAACGGCGGGAGGCCATGATGATGTCAACACGACTGCGGGAGATGTTTAGGATTTGGCTGTGACTACAGGCCTATGTCTTCTTCATCAACAATTTCATTATATTTTCCCCATCTTATCACTGTAGTTTTAGGGTTTTAAAATTGTCACCATTTTTTATTAAATATGGTGAAAATCCTGTAATAAATACCATACAAAAATTGACTCTTTATGTTGAACTACTTGGATGTTGCAGTGCATGTTGTGGATATGGAGAACAAGTCGACACTACGTGCTGCTTGTATGAAGGAAACAGCTGATCTGGGAGTGGACATGGTCATCGATCTCAGGCCTCCTAACTCCTCACAGGTACAGAAACTTTGCATCTGATAGTTTAGTGTTGCATTTCGGTTATGACCCTTTTCTCTCAGTTTACTGTATGTAGAACAATTTAATCTCACCAATTACCAAATTACCAATCTTACCACCTGGATTTATATGTAGTATTTAATATTTTGTAGTTGACTTAATGAGTTTTTGAAGTTAATTTACATTTCAGAGTTTGTAATGTTAGAACTGTGTTGAAAAAAATGTATTAGCATTTAAACTGCCAAGATCTAAATATCCAGTGAACAAGTATTTTGATATGTTCAGAGTAACAAGAATTGCGGAGAGATGGACTCCAACCTCAGCAAGGATGAGGAGGGGGTGTCGCCTAGCAACCATGAGTTGGTGTCATGTCTGGGTGTGGGGGCTAGATGGGTCACCACCAACTGTAACCTACAGGTAATGAATATACACCAGGTCAATTAAGTTTACAATTGACGATGATAATGTTGGAAGAAGTTTCCGATATTGCAGTGACCGCGGAAGACGTTCTTGATTTTTTCAAGGCCTCGAAAGTTGTTCAAAATTTTACTGTGAATTCAGAAGAAGTTTCAGATTTCACTGTAACCCCAGAAGATGTTCACGACTTTGCTGTGAAAGCGGGAACGTACTTGATTTTGCTGAAACCCAAGGGCCAAAATGTTTGATCCAATGTAAAAGGTCTGGACTGCAGAGTGTAGAACCCTACAAGGTTTAGACAGACTACGTCATTTAGGACCACAGAGCATAGAATAAATATAGTCATCACTCCTATACCTACAGCTATACCAGTAGTGAAGCCGATTTCCGCCATCTTGGTGAGAGAGTCGGGCTCAAAACTTGGAAAACTCAGCGTCATTACCACTGTGTTATTCTATGCTAATTTATGAATTAGATGAAGCTACCGCTCCGAGGATAAACATAAAACTATTCCCCCTTTGATATTGACCTAGGACTCTGCCCCGTGGGCTTTCAAAGTTCTGAGGTGAGAGTTTTAAAAGTAAATATTGATTGGTGGTCTCCATGGTAACAATATATTGGTTTAAATGTAAATGCAGACCGGGCCTGCCGTCATCTTGGTGCGACAAGCCTGCCTCACTCCAGACAGCAAGTGCTGCCTCTATATTTATTCTGTGCTCTGTGTTTAGGACTTAAACCTCAGTGTTATTGGAAACATTATATTTTATAACAAAGAACCAGCATATTGATTTAATCAATGAAGCTCTTTTAAAAAAAATTATTACAGTAACAGGAAATTTAGGAGTCTACAAAAAATTTTTGACTTAAAATTTTAATTTTAATTTTTGTTGATTTCTGATTTGCTCAAAGCTATTTTGGTAGTTCACTAAGCTAAAACAACACAATTATATTTTTAAGATTAGTAAAAAATCAATAATGAAGACTTAGCCAAAGACCATGAAATAACCAATAATAATATCATAGTAGACAGTGAAATGCTGTTACAGGAGCTATGTTAAGGCAAATATTGTACAACAAACCAGATAAGTATTGAATTATTAATTTGTGAATATTTAAAGTAATTTAATTGAGTCTCTTTAACTGTTGTCTGTTGTTTCAGCTTGATCCTCCGGTTTCCAGGCAGATGTCATTGCGCTGTGCTAGCTTAGGCTTTCTGTTCGACCAGGCGTGGTTCCTCTCTAGCACACAACAGGGCAAATATCAGCACATTCTCATGGATATCATTGAGAAACTATCCACCTACACCATCAGGTAAATTCACCAGTCACCAAGTGTGAATAATAGAAAAAGTCATTGGTATGTCTTTTACAGAGTTAACCTAAATTGATAAGCATTGACCAGGATAGTCGGAGAGTTAGGGACAGGGGATTGTTTGAAAAAGTCTAACTGTCAGGGGGAAAAGAAAACTATAAAGAGCGTGAGAGGTTGGTAAAAAACATACTTTTATACTTTATTAATTGAAATGGCAACAACAAAGATAGGTACTTTAAGTTAAAGAATGCTCGCTAAATAAGTTTGTAGCCAATTGTAATAAGCTTTTTAATCAGAGACATTTAGTTATTGAACTTCTTGTAGAATGTGCTTTGTTGTAGTTCTATTATCTTTCAATTTTTCTTTTGATAGCTGTTTGGGCATAAATTATGCACCAGCTTATTTATGGTATATAAGTTACCCTTTCAGTTTGGTTTTGCAAATAAAATGGATACAAACAAAACTATGTTTAGTAATAGTAAACTGGCCCAATTGTTTTAAGTCTTGTTAAACATAAACTTGCTAAAATATAATATATGAGCAGAATGCAAACTTCACAGAAAAATATTAATACAACCTAGAATAGTTTGAGAAACCTTTTGGATTTCCAATATTCAAAAAGCTCACCCATTAGGTAGGCTGCAAGTACAGTTTTTAATCTTATTTTTTCCTCTCTAGACCGAATATTCACCACACTGTCACTGTGGATGGAATCCTAGAGGCTTGGCAGGATCTTTCGGAAGTTACTGTGGGAAAAGTTGTCTACGCCAATTAGCGTAACCATACGCAAGCCATATGTTAGATTGTAAGTGGTTACATGACTGTTGTTAATTATTACAAAACGTATATTGTTGTTACCTGTAAAGTATTCTATGTACATTCCATGCTTATATTTCGTCAGGAGCTAAGGAAAAACCTACCAATTTGGGTTTTTAATAAATATACCAATACTCGTCAGGTATGCAATACCTAACCAAGTTTTGTTTAACTCACTTTTGTTTTTTCCTGAACTTGTCAAGTACACAAAGATACCAAGAAAATTTAGTTCTGAAAAAAAGTGAGTTAAAGGAAACTTGGTTTAGTTTTGCATACCTGATGAGTATTGATATAGCCTACCTATCAGGACAATTAATTAGTTGTGAGTTACTAGATTTTTTGTGTATCTTTGTCTGCCTAACAAGTTGTGAAGAAAATAATAAAGTGAGTGGGGCCCACAAAATCCCTTTTTTATAGGTTCTTCAAATCTCCTCTACAAAAGAATTTGTTGTTATAAAGCTGTAGGCAATTTTAATCGGTTATTCCTTAAGAATAAAAATTAACATTTTTTATATTTTTAAAATGGTTCAAAAATTGTCAAAAAGATTTTTTTTTTAGATATTTGTTACCAAAAATAAGACTTATTAATAAATTAACTAAATTTATTTTGCACAATTTTAAGGTCATTGAACACTTAATAGTTACAAATTTGGTACGGTATATCAAAATTGTCAACAATAATAGAGAAATTCTAATTCAATATTTGTTTTAAAATTAGTCCAGGATACAAACTAGGTTACTTGACTAGAAAATTGTTTTTTTTTTTTTTTTTTGTAATTGTGCTCGCCTATTAATTAAAACTTTTCCTTTTCAGTCAGGCAAAAATGGTTCAGTCAGGCAGAAACTTAACAATGGTTGGAAACCAACCAGACCCTATCCTCTTTATCTTTGGGCTAAAATCGTAACACATTACACAACTTGATATAAATTACTTTTGTGGTCTCCTTTAAATCAAAGTTCAAAGATGCTGTCGAACAATGAACATCTTCTCGCATTGATCATAAAGAAGGCGAAGACACAGGCGTACTATCCCAAATTGCCGGGTACTTTTCAATTTCGCAAATTAGATCTGTATTCACTTTGTTTTCTATTATTTTGTTTAGTCTCTTATTCAGTTCTTCTTCCTTTGTCTTCTTTCTTTCTTCTTTTTCAGCAACGTCCTCTTTATTTTTCTTCTGATCACTCATTTTCACAAACAAACAATTCAATACGAAAACACACAACAACTACCACACTGCATTTGTCTCTGCAGTCTGCACGGGAACTGAACCAAAATAGTAGCTGCGTACGCATCCACCGTGGCAGCCACTGGTTGCTTCGTGTGAAAGCTCCCATTTAATTCAATGCCTCGCGACGAGTTGCCGTCACTGCGGTTGCCGACTAGCAGTTGCGCGAGGAGACACTGCTCGGCCACTTTGTTCTGGCCGGCAACTGCAATGGCTGTGTGTGAATGCTCCCATTTAAAATAATGTTAAAGCTGTGCCGGGCAACCAGTGGCGGCCACCAAAGGGCCCTTACTCACAATTTCCTCTTTTGCAATTGGTTATAACTAGGTTATAAAATACTCTCCTTGCCTTGTAACTCATATTTGTATTTCTATTTCCATGTAAGTGCTATTTGTAGTAAATTGTTGTTTTAATTTTTCTATGTACCTGAATTAATCTGCCAGTAGCTAGTTTTTTAAAGTATAAAGCATCATTTTGTGAATATTGCTTTTGATACTTAACATATTTCCTGTTGATAATATACAGGGAGGCAATTTAACGAAATGAAACCTTTTATATATCATTAAAATAATAAAGGTCATTTATCTAAAAAAATCATAATCCTAAGTACAGGGAGCGGCAGAAATATCTGACGGTTTTCAAGCGAGTACAGTCCGGCAGCCGAGTGGAGGGGGGTGGTGGGGAGCGGCTCATTCTCAAGGCCAAATGTGACTATTTTAGTCGCCATGGAGCAGTGGACCAATATACATCGCGCGTTTGCCGTTGAGGCGTTTTTTAAAAATGGCGATTCTGTTGTTGGTACGCAACGTAAGTTTCGGAGGCATTTTAATGTGGCTCGTGGGGAACCTATCCCATCCCGAAACACCATCAAATTGTGGGTGGATACCTTTAGATCACAGGATCAACTGCAAAACGTAGGCCTACAGGCCGTCCAAGGCCAGTGAGGACGCCTGAGAACGTGGAGCGAGTGCGACAAGCTGTGCTAACGACCCCGCATCGCCCGGAGCGTAGACAAGCTGCTGCTCTTGGCATGTCTGATCGCTATATTCGATGAATATTGCACTCAGGCCTTCACTTTCACCCGACAGCGATCAGACATGCCAAGAGCAGCAGCTTGTCTACGCTCCGGGCGATGCGGGGTCGTTAGCACAGCTTGTCGCACTCGCTCCACGTTCTCAGGCGTCCTCACTGGCCTTGGACGGCCTGTAGGCCTACGTTTTGCAGTTGATCCTGTGATCTAAAGGTATCCACCTACAATTTGATGGTGTTTCGGGATGGGATAGGTTCCCCACGAGCCACATTAAAATGCCTCCGAAACTTTCGTTGCGTACCAACAACAGAATCGCCATTTTTAAAAAACTCCTCAACGGCAAACGCGCGATGTATATTGGTCCACTGCTCCATGGCGACTAAAATAGTCACATTTGGCCTTGAGAATGAGCCGCTCCCCACCACCCCCCTCCACTCGGCTGCCGGACTGTACTCGCTTGAAAACCGTCAGATATTTCTGCCGCTCCCTGTATTTGAGCTGAAAATTTTATAATCTACAATACGATTTTATGATATGTGCAATGCTCTCTACTTCAATATTGGAAGAATAATACTTGTTTGAATTGTTGTAATTATTAAAAAAGCATATTTCCTCAAATTAATTTGTGCATTTTTATTTACCTTAAAATCTTTAACCATACTATTTTGATTCTAATAAGATAAATTGAAGAAAGAATATACAAAAGGGTATGTATAGAGTTAGAATGTTTTAGAAAATAATAGAGACTAGAAATTTTACATTAAATTTCAACTAGGCTAAATCACTTGTTAAAAAAAACTACGGTATTAAAAAAAAATTCTTTCCATTTGCTTTGAATAGTAAAACTGAATCCTAGGCCTATTTGGAGATTGTACTGCATAATAAATAAGCTTTACTTTCAGGTTCAGGTCATATCATTGAAAAAGATGATAGAGAGCTCAAATCAAATAAGCTAAATAAATATCAACCTAAGCCAAACCTTAGTGTATTGTAAACTGTTTGTTCTATTAGGGAGTAAAGGAATATGAGAATGTTAAATAAGATTCCTTGCAATGAGTACACTCATCAGCATTATAACCATATCAATATTATCATCTGTGTCACAATAGCAGTGTTATCTTAGCCAGGGCTAGTAATAACCAATAATCCTAGATAAGATAGGAACTGATGTAATGCAAGACAACACTCAACACATGATGAAGAGGCAATACAGAGGGTACATCTTGGCAACATTCGTGTTGTCCCTGTGCTCCCATGGAGTACACATAGTGTCGGAGATGTCACAGAGCTGGGTTGTGGCAGTGACTGTACCTGAGTGTCACATTAGCTACGGACTGTACCAAGGCTCCATGGTGTGTGGCAACACCTCTGATGAAGCTATGTTGTCCAGTAAGTATCCTGAGGTATTTATAGTGTTGTCATGGAGTACATGTTCTGTCGGAGATTGTACATAGACTGTACCTGAGACTTACTTTACATGAGCTATTTACTTTTATTTTCTAGCAATCATCCTTCTAAAAGTGATGTGATTCTATTTCTGAAAAATTTCAATCACTAATAAACAAGCATGGTTCAATTTCAATTCAACATAATTCAACTTAGTTTTGGAAATAAAGCCCAATAATATGTTAGTGGCTTATGATGTTTGAACTTGTGTATTCACTAAAGTAAAAAAAAAAAATACTATACCAACTCCACACTAATATATTATAACTTTGCAGTCACCTGTCTGTTGTACCTGAACGTATGTGCCTGGTCGTGTGAGGGTCACCCACAGGATGACATCCAGGAGCTCTACAACTCCGGGAAACTCCTCCATTCCTGCTCCAACACGACACAGGATGTTGGTAAGTCTTTTGTACATTATAATGATGAAGTATACCTTTTCTTGTGTACAATGTTACCCCACTCACATGTATCAATCATGTCTTCTTTACTAAATAATTTGCAATTCAGATCTATAAAATGGATTCTTGTGAGATTGCTGTTTAAGAAAAAAAAAATTAATTTTGTCTAATGGTTTTTTTTTAAAACAATGTCTGGTTGCTGTTTTGCCGAAAAACAATAAACAGTTTCAGATAAGTAGACCTATCAACCGAAAAATTAACAGACATTTTTGAGAAAACAATACTATAATTTTATTTGTAATATTGTATTGCAAAAAAATACTTATTTGAGTAGGGTTCTTTTTAGTGTGAGCTTACAAGTAGCACTAGTAGCAGTAATAAAGGATTGACCACCTAGTAAACAATACCTGGTTTAGGACCAAGACCCAACTCTTGGTTCACCATAGGCTGTCCAAAACTATAGTATCGGTAATTTCTGCTTGATGATGACAATTGTGTGATTCTGACTTGGCGTAAGGTTGGTAGCCCTGCCGGTGCTGTTGGTCAGAGAGAGGTTCATCAATGGTGTTGCGTGGTTGGCAACCGTGGTGGCTGTTGTACTGAGCGGACTTGCAAGTCTGATCGCTCTGATCCTGACAGTCTACAATGTGAACCACACACCGTCTTGCTATTGGCTCTCCATCCGAGGCCTATACCTCTGGTTCGGCTCCTGTTGTAAGTATTGTTTTTGTGTTGTTTAAGTGACTACTGTATGGTACTATAAATGTTATGATTTGAAATATCTCCTAAAGAAACACAGTTCAAGGAGTCTGTCCACCATGCTATTGTTAATTTTTCAAAGCTTTGCTGTTGATATAATACAGGCAGTCTATTGGAAACTTTACATCAGAATTCCTACTATCCGGGTCCATTGGGACCAACTTCCCAAATTTCTTATACAAATAATCAAAAAATTTAGATTATTTTAGTTTTATGAAAAAAGTTATTTATGATAAACAATAAACAGTTTAAAACTAATTTTAGTAAATGTTTGTTTTGACATTACATACATAGTATAAAACACAGTGTTATAGAACAGTGCATTATGTACATTACACAAATTAAAATATTTAAAAGATTACTGCAAACTTCTAAAAACTAATTTTTCTGGTAGATTTTATATATTTTTCTCCTTGTAGTTATCCAGATAATTGGTGATACGGATGATGGGAATTTTACTACGATTGGAGGACTTGTGAATTGTGTTGTGGCTTTTGATGGATTTATACAGTCTCGCAATAGAAATATTTAGCTGGCTATTTTTTGGTTTTGGTTTACACATTTTTAAGGTATATATTTAAAATTGTTAAGACTTCTCAATGAAAAGCAGACTAAATTTTTATTTGAATATTAATATTTCAGGTGTCTTAAAGTCGTTATCTTTAGCAACTTGGGGCATCGAATTTTACTTTAATCTGAGCAGAAACATGGGAACTGTGGACACGATAGTTGGTCTCCTCGATTCCAATGGAAAAGCACATCTGGGATACTCTTATTGGTAAGTCAACTACATTGTAAAAATCATATTACCAAGCCAGTTTACTTGGATAACATATGAGACATTTAGAAGAAGTTTGCTAGATTTTGTATCTTGACAATACTTGTTGGTTAAGTTTACTTATGGCTTGGTAAATTATTTTTGTAAGCAGCTATGATGCTATGTCTATTCGGGTTACCTTTTCATTACCATATTCTTTACCAAAATGGTAACCTGTGGGCCCATCAGTTACGAAGTAAAAAAACTAGTGATGGGCGGATCCAATAAAATGTCGGTACCAGATCCGGATTCGGACCTTGAAAAAACCGGATCCGATCGGGCGTCGGTTCTAGCTCAAATCCGGCGGATCCGGTAGTCCGATATCCAGATCCGACCCTCACTAAAAAAACTTTTGTAAATTCGGATTTTTTATTACTCATGTTTAGTAACCATCCTCATTGCAGCAACAAAATCCAATTGTGTCATGAAGGCAACTTGGCTTTGGAATAATTATTAAGGAGGAAGGAATAATACACAAATAACTCACCTGAATAAAGAGTCCTAGGAGGTCAATAGAACACATAGAAAGTACACATTAAACTGATATTTCGTCCCTTTCAGGGGCTTCTTCAGAGGCAGAAGGTAGAATGGCAGTTACGATTAGAACTATAACTGCCATTCTACCTTCTACCTCTGAAGAAGCCCCTGAAAGGGGCGAAATATCAGTTTAATGTGTACTTTCTATGTGTTCTATTGACCTTCTGGGACTCTTTATTCAGGTGAGTTAGTTGTGTATCCTTCCTTTCTCCTTAATAAAAATAAAAATGTATGTGTAATAAACCGTAATAATATATTCGTTAAAACTCAACGTTGTACTGTGTGTTGTTTCTAACAAAGTATTTCTATTTTCAAGAGTAAAGTGTGCTGTACTGCTATATATGGGACAGATTGTGCCTATAAAACAAAAAAATTGTGAAAATGTACAAGGGCGTAGCTGAGGGGGTGTTTAGATTGATGATGTTTAATTCATCAATCTAAAACCTGAGGATCTTAGGTTTAGTGCTGGGTAGTTCATTAAAAACAATAACACTCATAACAAAGTTTCAGTGCAAATGACAACTGTATTGCTATAAAACTGTATGAACTATTAAAATTCTAAAGTTGACAAAACTCAAGAACTGATTTGTTCACAGGACACAGCTGATTGTTATTGCATTGCAATGCTGCTGTATGGCTCTACTATACTACAGAGAAACGTTGTTTGATAAACGGCCGTCTTTCGTCGGGTCACGCCAAAGACAAAACAACTATCTAGGTTATGTCAATTATGTTTGAAATAAAGTTTTTCTTCAATTCCTTGTGCCTTACTGACCAAACGTAACTTTGTTAGTGCATTAGGTAGGCCTATTGACGTCATTGGGTTTTTTTACACTTTTTGTTAGGGAATAATCTAAGCAATTTTCTTGTTAGGTACTACTGTATTTAACACTGGTCTTTTATCATTGATAGCATTATTAATAGACCAATGACTAATAGCATCTGGATCATGCCCACGGTTTTTGTGTGATGCGCTATGGGCCCCATATATTAAAACAGCCCTGATCTGGATCCAGAATCGATCCAGCTGGGATCGAACCAGCGACCTAGTTGTTTGATATTGCAATGATAACATCTGGTCTCATAACTTTACGATGTGTAATTTTACCTTCTTGTTTAACACAGCACTTTTTTATTTTATTTTAATTTCATTTCAATAAATTTGACTTAATGCAAGATAAATTATTTGACATACCGTACCAACAATCTAGTACTGGTTATATTGATTTTATCACTAAAAGAAAAAAAAATACTACGGTATGCAAAATTGCATATTTATTTGAAAATATTTTACATTTTTCTTATAAATGGAAAACACAATAACAAAATAAGAGTTAAGTATAAAATTACAATAACAGGTTTTTAAGCACCTCCATCAAATAGTCCAATGATTAAGATTGCTCAGCAGCTTACATGTTTCGTTGCGAAGAAAACATTCTCAAAAGTTACATCTTGTCAAGAACACAATTAAAACAAACTATTAAAACATTTTATGTCCGTGTCGTGTTGGTTTTACCTGTGTTCTAATTGTGTTGCAGGCTTTGAGAATGTTCTCTTCTCGACAAAACATGTAAGCATAAGCTACTAGTACTGACTGTGCAATTTAATCATTTTGGACTATTTGACGGAGGTACGTAAAACCTGTTATTGTCTAAATAAAATAGTACAGGGGCCAGAAACATGAATTTTAAAAGATAAAATGTTTGAAGGAAGATTAACCAACTTATTTTACATTTATTTATAAAGAAACTAACTTTTAAGAATCACACAAATAATTATAAATTCTCTAAATTCTTCTAAATACTCATATTAACAGTAAACTATGGAAATAATAATAAAAAAATAAAATAATACTAAAATTTCTTTTCCAAGCATAAAGCAAATTAACTATATGGACAAAATACAATGACCGTTTGTGTGAAAAGAGTCTTTTTAAACTCAATACAATTTACTGTACACATTGTTTTCTTTCATTTAAAAAGGAGTGTTTTTGCCTAACTTATTTTACAAAAAATTGTTGTTTAGAATATTAATAGAATACAAACAAGGTGCATCCTTGATCAATTATCCAAAACTAAATGGTCAGGTTACTAAAAAAATAAACATTTGTGTTATTTGTTAAGTGCCATAATGTAGCTAACTGATCCCATCAGGAAAACTTCTCCCTCTCTTGGAAGGAAATTAAACAATAACAATGGCACTGCCTTCCGGTTCTGGTGGTCAACCAACTATGACAGGTTGAGATAGCCAAACAAGACAGGTTCGATGCTCTTCTCAAGGTCAACCACAACCAGTGCTTACTTGATATCGTCTTGGAGTCTTCCACATCCACTGCCACTGTCATCACAGCGTTGAGTGAGGTTAGTTGTTTACATCAGCTGATTTGTTTAAGAGTGAATAGTTTAGATGAAGTGATGTGTAAATTCTTTATTACATTACATTATGTAGGATTGCAGTTCCACCCAAGACGCTCATAGTAAACCTTTATTCCTCGAGTTAAAAATTCAAACTGTTGTTAATTTGTACATTTTTGATCTTATGTCTTATGCTTTAAAGAATCTACCAACTTCAATTTTTAACAATCAAGTCCATACATATAATACAAGAAGTAATTGTCAGATAAACAGAACATTTAATAGGCTGAGTAAAACATTGAAAAGTCATGTTGTTATGTCCGATAAGGTATTTAATAAATTGAGTAAGACCGTTCAATTTTATCCAGGTAGACATTCTTTATTTTTAAGTAAATTTTATGACTGGCTATTAAGAAACCCTTTTTTTCTATTGACGACTTCATGGCCGTAAAGGAAGTTCAGTTTTAGACTCATTGTCAGTGCCTAGGTTAGTTTATATTGTTGTTAATCTTGGTTAGTTTATACTGTTGTTAATCTTTTAACTTAATTGTCTATCAGCGTTTGTTATACTGTTTTTATCTCTTGTTAGCAGGACCTTGTCTACTGTTGTTTATATTTTAATTGTCCATCAACTTTGTTGCAATTGTTAATTTTTATAAATTTTTATCTTAATATCTGTATTTTGTTGTTGGTTCATATAATTTATTCTTTGTTAAATTTTCATATTTATTTACAAAATGTATTTATTGTTAAATCGCATTCCATACTGTTGGTAATCCACAGAGCTGACACCAAAATAATTAACATATTGGACATGTTAGTTGTAATGTCTAGCCTGACTGTAGCCATGCTATATACATGACAATTGTCAATGCATTTTTGTAATCTCCAATGACAAATAAATATTTCTGATTTCTGATTATGTTACATTGCAAAATTGTTTGCATCAAGAATTAATTTGGATAGGTAGGCCTACATGTGGTTGTTAAACTAATAATGTTATTTTCGTGATGTACTATGAATGAGTTAAGTCATGCTTTATGATTTAAGATAAAATATTAAACAGTGAAATGGGAAGTGCTTTCTGCCATGAACAAAATGTTTGATTTGTGTTTCCTACTTTTGTAGTAGCATATTACTTATTGACATATGGAATTCATTCAATTAAATTATTTAATTTTAGAAATAAATATAATTTTCCTAAAAATTAGTGAGCTTATGTTTATTTGAACAAGTTTGCAAACCAGCATGCTCTGTCTATGGGTGGAGTTTTATGGGGCGAAAATGAGTTTTATTCTCATATTTTATCCTTAATATTCCCCATTTTCTTTCAAACCGTTTTGTAGATCTTATGTTTCTTTAGAGATGTATTTTGACCAAATTTGGCAAGTTTTCATAATTTTTTCATACATTTTACTATAACCACACTTACCATCCCTATAGCAAACCTAAGAGATGATTAAAAAAATTTGCTAATTGGCAGGTTAGCTGCGGCAGAGATGTTTAAATTCTTATACATCTACCATTAGTTATCAATCCTACCGATATGTCCACTTTTAACCCTTCCCGGACGGTGACGGATATATCCGTATAAGTCTTTGGTGATTTCTATTAAACGTTTTAAAACATTCCTACGGTCTTAATAAACAAGAAAATACCTTTAAAGCATTTTTTTTAGGCGCGGAAACCACTTCAAATTACAAAAACATACGGAACTATATTCTCAAAAGACGGAGCACATTTCTTGCCAAGGAAAAATAGCGGAGTGATACGGACCACGGGTACTACTTTCTCCAGGGCACCATTTGTGTAATTGTGTTGCTAGCTGAACCTAAAAACGTGTTGTATAGTGTTTGAAAGATTAATTATTTATGTTTTATAGTGACTGTAGGAAAAATATAATGTGTAACACGAGTGAAAAAGGCCTTTGCTGCACTCGAGATCATTCCGCACTCGCCTGCGGCTCGTGCGTAAACATTGCTCTCGTGTGCAGCAAAGTGCCACTTTCACCACTAGTTACACAAATAACTATTGACAGTATGATGTGTTCCACTGTGTTTCTTTTATGTATACTTGTGTAACAAAACACAAAAATGAAAAACAAATTTAATTTTTTCCTCTAATTTTTTCCTGTCCTATGTCATGATTTTGCCCGTCCGAAGGGTTAATAAATCTATGAGTGTATCTAAGTACCAATACTATCCAAAAAAGATAGATATTATACTACTTTATTTTAGTTTATCAAAAACTTCTCCATATAATTATCATGCAATGAAATTTGTCGCTAAAAGAAACACTAAATGATTATCTAAATAACAAGAAACCTTGTTACAAAGAATAATGGATAAGAGTATTCAACGTACAAGCAACAACAAGAAAATATAAATAATCTTGACTATGAAAAAATACTGGGCAAAAAATAAACAACAAAATTAGCATGCACAATTAAATATGTGAGTGTGATTTTGTTAAATATACTGGTGTTAACAATTACACATAATAAAAAAAAAAAATCTTTAGACAAAGGAAGGTTTTTATCTTCAAATTTTACAGCTGATGGCTGCGATTATTATGAGGAAACAGATACAAATATTTCCATACATATATGTTGCTATATATTGGCAAATTAATGTAAAAGGATATCTTTATGAGAATTTCCTACACAGTTTGATTTGTAGATGTGGAGGTGGAGGCTGACCTGGCCTAGGTTGGTAGCACTGCTAGTGGTGCTGACTACAGTGTTGTCTACCATCACCCTGATCGAATACACAGATGATCTCCCCAGCTCAGAACACAAGACTGATACAGTTTGATTTGTAGATGTGGAGGTGGAGGCTGACCTGGCCTAGGTTGGTAGCACTGCTAGTGGTGCTGACTACAGTGTTGTCTACCATCACCCTGATCAAATACACAGATGATCTCCCCAGCTCAGAACACAAGACTGATACAGTTTGATTTGTAGATGTGGAGGTGGAGGCTGACCTGGCCTAGGTTGGTAGCACTGCTAGTGGTGCTGACTACAGTGTTGTCTACCATCACCCTGATCGAATACACAGATGATCTCCCCAGCTCAGAACACAAGACTGATACAGTTTGATTTGTAGATGTGGAGGTGGAGGCTGACCTGGCCTAGGTTGGTAGCACTGCTAGTGGTGCTGACTACAGTGTTGTCTACCATCACCCTGATCAAATACACACAGGATCTCCCCAGCTCAGAACACAAGACTGATACAGTTTGATTTGTAGATGTGGAGGTGGAGGCTGACCTGGCCTAGGTTGGTAGCACTGCTAGTGGTGCTGACTACAGTGTTGTCTACCATCACTTTTGTCAAATACACTCAGGATCTCCCCAGCTCAGAACACAAGACTGATACAGTTTGATTTGTAGATGTGGAGGTGGAG